TGTGAAAATGCTCAGCTAAGTAATTATTCTAGTGTCCCTGCAAATCTTGTTTTTTTTGTTTTGCACTCAGAATCATGTTATTGCAGCAGGTGACTTTATGGCATTACTACTTGATATGATGTTGTTTTATCTTACATGAGAAGCTCCAGTGAGTTGGATGAGGCTCTTTTTGAGAGTAATTGCTGACCTGCAGGAACAGGTATTGCACAGAGGAAAGTGTCGATGGAGGTATTCCCATTCCAAAGATATCAGGCAGGACTAACAGCCCGGCTTTTGTCCTTTTGTGAAGGAGGACAATCACAAAGATAATTCTCTTGGCTATCACATGGCAAGACTGCATGTCAATATGTAAAATTACCTCAAGGAAAGGGCTGAGCTGAAAGGTCTTCTTTTTGCTGTGTGATAGCCAATACTTGTATTTCAAAGCCTTTCTGTTAGTCAAAAGCTTCTCAAGAATATGCATTTATGTTATCTTCTGTGAAAAGCTTTTTCTCTTTTTTTTTTAGCAATTAGCAAGAAAGTATAGAACTGGGGGGCTGGGGAAGAGAAACTACCTACCAGCATCTCTTGGCTGCGCTGAACTCCAGAAACATTGGCACTTGGTTTTGGGGAAGAATTTAAAAATCTAACTGTTAATGATTGATGAACTCAGTACAGCATATTTGAAAATTACTAATGTACTCACTCCTAGGCTTTATTTTGCTCAATTAAAAATGACTCCTTAGTTTCTACTGGCCCCACCTCTGAAATATTTCCTAATAGAAAAGTCATTATATTCTGACACCTGTGCGCTCCCTGATCATTAAGTTTTGATAATTGCATGCTTCCAGTTTTTCATTTTCCCATACTTTATCTCTGCCCTTTCCTTCGTTGCATCTGTTGTTATGTCCTCCCTCATGCGATACCCGAGGTTTTGTGTTTACAGAGCCTTTCAGTTGCTCAAAGACAAGTTGAACGTGTTTGGAACCTGCCTCTAGGATGGTCAGGGAGGGGGCCGGTAGAGTGACACCTGCCTGATGCATCTTTGAAAGGCCTGGATGTTTGTTCGGCACAAGGCTGCAATGATTCATGGAAAACTCAGATGCTCTGTGCCAAAAGCCAAAGCAGAGCTGAGGGGATTGGGAGCCCTGGGCTGCAAATGCTGGTGTTCACTGTGCTTTGGTAACTCTAATGCAAGTCTGGATTTCAGCAGAGATTTCCAGATGGTTGTGTGGTTTGAACATCTTCGACCTTTATCAACATTTAATCCTTTCTTGATTGCTTTTCTCCTTATTGTATATGGAGCTCTGTGTTTGAGAACAACCTTTTTTTTCCTGTATGGCAACTTCAGTAATCTCTGACTGATTGATGAGCTCTCAGGGTCTGGAGAGAGGCAGTGTTACAAGAAAGACCATGTTATCCTGGAGTTTTAGTCAGAGGGTGAAGTGATTGAGGAGCACATTCCAACTCTTGAATAAAATTAACTGGAGATCAATGTTCCATAGATACAGAACTGTCAGTCTTGCCAAGAGTCATGAAAACACCTTGATTAATTTTGTGGTTGGAGACCTGTGGCTTCCTCTTGAGTGGCTGGGACAACAAAATCTTCCAGGCTCAGTGTAGTAGAAAAGCAATTCTGCAGAACCTTTCAGTTTTATTGGTATATTTTAATTTATTTCTGTCTTATAAGTTTTTTCTACATGCATATGTAAAACTTCCCCATCGCTAACTTGATTACTGCATATAATATTAATGATTTGCAGGTTGCAACTTGCTGAAAAGTCCTGAGGGCAAATCTGCTTTCCATATAGTTTCAAGTCTCCACCCATATTATGAGCATGACTTCGAAGGCTTAAGCATTTTGCATTTGTAGCACTTTTGCAACTGTTCCATTGTAAGGAGATAAATGAGTGAGGTTTCCGCTGCTTCTTTTGGGTTGTGATAGAAGACTGTCCATAGAGGCGAGTAGGAGTGACCTTGCTGCATTTCTCACCTCTGAGGTGGCTTTACAGATGAATCCAAAGTCCTGAAGTTGGAGAAAATTGGATTAAGCACCTCATTGTGATTTTGCCAATACAGGTCTTTAATATGATTATGTAATTTGTAATAGAATGAATTACTGTTATGTTAGTGAACCAAACTTATCACACAGTGCTGAAAACTTCTGATGTTTTTCTGAATAAAATTTTTTCATGATTTCCATTTAATGAAAAAATATTTGTGGCTTGAGATCCATATTGAGTAGATGTGTGTGTCCTGGTGGTCTATTGAGCAGCAGCAATGAACATCTCAGTTATGGAGAAAAGCAAAAACTGATTAAAAATAAGAATCCAGGAAGGATATATAATACATCAACTCCTTTTCACATGAGCAAAACCTCCTCACCCTGGAGGGATTGGCAGCATTGGAAGGAAAATTTGCTTCCTACCTTTGTTGCACAAACATTTGGATGAACCATTAGAGCCAGGCAAGCCAGTATTGGCATGAGGCCTCTTCAGCAAGTAATTCCCAGACTGTGTTTTGCTACAAACCCTGTCTGCTTCCACAGGTACCTCTCTGGAGTCACAGATGGCCATTTCAGAAACTGTTGCCTTTGTAATTTGTCCTTGACAACACCATCTTTGCCTCTCCATTCTGTCTTCTAAGCAGAAGGGCCACTTCTTGACATGCCCTCCTTGTAGATACACTTCCACCTTGCTTACAGCAGGCTCACAGTGAAATAAGACATTTCTCACCAGATGGAGAATGCTGCCTTGCTTTCATGGGCTACTAGACCAATGATTGATTTTTTTTTTGTTTTTAAGTTAGTGGTAAAGGTTTAGTCTAAGTTACCTGTGGATCAGTTCAACACCAAGGAAATGGTCTCACTTTTAATCACTTTGTCTTTAAAATCAAGGTTAAGGCTTTCTAAGGCAGAAAGCCTTAATTTAAATTGAACTGTAGGGCTTGGTTCTGTTCAGCTGCAGAGGAGAGGATAATTCCTGCAGCTGCAGGAGCCAACTTTCTAAGTTTTCTGCCTTGCTTCGCCTGTCTGTTTATAGCAGTCTGTCTGATTGTCTCCTCTAAAGAGTGTTACATTGCCAGTTGAGTTCTGGATGAGAGTAATTACATGCTGTTGATAGACAGTTAAATGATTTAGATCATCTTCCTCAGATCCTGAAGGCCAATATGGGGTTTTTTTGCTGTTGTTGGTTGGTTGGTCTGCGTGTGTTGGCTTGCTAGGATTCAGTGCATTCTGAAGTGATTTGCAAAGTGAGTTTTCTGGTCTTTAGCTCACACCAGTTGGAAGGGGAGAGGTAAATGAACCCCAGCTTTGTCTGCTGAATCAGTTTTGGATGTGTGTGTCAATGTTAGTGTCAATATTAGTAAGCATTGCTATCACAGAAGATAGAGGTTAAGAACAGAATTTACTCATTGTATTCTTAAATAAGCACATCAAACACAATCTGCTGTATCACCAGAGCTATTTGTGTTAGCTAAGGGCAATACCCAACACCTGATAATAGCACTGGTGCAACCAAATGGAAAACACAGGTATCTCACTGCTCCTTGGAAATGTCAGAATTTTTTGCTGTATTCTCAGCATGTTAAGATTATAATTAATTCATTTCTAATTTTTTTCCCCCATTGGATTAACAGAAGATTCAGTAAATGGCATTGATAGTAATCCAGAGGTGGGTTCCAAACTAGAAAGATTACGTCAGTCAGGCTGCTGGTCAGGAGATGGGATATCTCATCTACGGTAGAGCCAAACTGGCCCTGGTTTGCTGGCTGATAATTCTGTATTCATAGCTGAGACATTCCAGGGGTGACTGGCTGGCATGGTGCTTGGTTGGTGAGTGGCGATCCCAGCTGTGAGGAACCAGCCTCAGGGAGCAACCTGATGGACTCAGCCCCTAGTGAATGCAAGGGGAGCTGCTGTGCTGTTCAGCTGCAGAGCTAACAGGAGAAATACAGCCCTGCTTCAGGCACAATGCTCTCTGGAGATAGTCCTCTCTCCACTACTCGCTGTAGACAGCCTGTAGAGGCTTGTTTTCTTTAATTTTTATTTATTATTTTTTCCCAAAGCCTGTGTCCTGTGAGGACACTGCACCTGTACTTGCTTTTTGTTCCAAAGGTAAGAGTATTCTGGCATCTTTCCAGTATCTAAAATATAACTCTCCTTGAGAATCTGCTGCACAGGGTGATAAAATAAAATCTTATGTTTCATTCCCACTTTACAGATGCTGTTCCACACAGTCCTCAGTCCTGGTGTACCTCTTTGTTGTGGCTAGATTGAAACACACTGGGTAGCACTTTGCTAAATGAAAAGTCCACACTAATTTAGACAGAAAAGGTATTTGTCAAGGTGTGGATCTGAAAGAGCCATGGAAAAGACCATTTATAAACAGGAGAGAACAATTAAGCAACCAGACAATCTGTGTCTCCTCATGTCTGTACACAGAGTGTGCTTTGAGCAGGGTGTTAGGTAAAGCCTGGGGAAGGTCACTATGACAGCGAGGGTCAGTGTTTGATGGGGAATTGGCAGTCCTGAGGTAGGAAACAAGAAGGAGAGTGTGTGGGTAGGTGTTGGAAGAGCAGGAAGAGGGGAAGGAGTAGGGAGACATGCTAGAAGTGAAGGTGTGTGACAGAGAGGCGGCCAGGCAGGGGTGCAAGCAGAGCTGAAGAGCCCAGAGTGGGGGAGCGAGCCCGGGCAGGTTGGCGGCAGGGAAGTGGGTCGGGCTAAGGCGAGGAGCGAGGGCGTGCGGAGGGCAGGCGGTATTTAGGAGGGGAAGTGGGCAGGTGACCGTGCAAGGTGTTTGAGGCAGGTGGGTGTTGCCGAGGAAGCGGGCGCGGGGCCGGAGGAGGGTCAGCGGGCCCGGGCTGCGAGGGGCTGCCCCGGGGGCGGGAGGCGGCCCCGCCCGGGCCCCGGGGCAGCGCAGGGGCCGCGGTTCCCGGCGGGGCAGCGAGGGGCGGGCGGCTGCCGGCCCGATAAAGCGGCGGGCGGCGGGCGGCGCGGGCAGAGCGCAGCGGCGGCAGAGATGGGGATGCTCAGCCTGCCCGGCTTTCTGTCCTGCGGGAAGAAGAAGGTGAGGCGGCGGGGGGAGGCTGGCCGGAGGCGCCCGGGCAGGTGGGGTGCCGAGGCACCTGGGCAGGTGTGCGAGAATGTAGGCGAGTGTGGGTGCACCTGGGCAGGTGGGTTGTGGAGGTGCCCAGGTGGGCGTAGCGGCGCTCGGACAAGCAGGGCGCAGGTGTGTCGGCAGCTGAGGGCAGGTATGAAGTTGTCTGTGCAGGCGAGATCCAAACAGGTAGCGGAAGGTAAAGTGGGATGAGCTCCTCGACAGATGTACAAGGCGCTAGGACAGGTGTTTTTTAAAGTGAGCATACAGATATGTGCTGATGTGAACATCTGAACAAGTATGGGGGCATCTGTAGGGGCAGAATAGAGGAGTCTCCAGCAGCTGATAGCACAAAGGAGTAAGGCAGAATTGTGGAGGTGTTTGGGCTCTCTGGGGGGACCCTCTCTCACAGGTCTGTGCTGTCCTGCCAGGGACCAAGTGGACTGGCACCCAAAAAAATGACTCTGCCCATCCTGTCTGGCTGGTCAGCTATCCCAAGGTGCGTCTCTGGACAGAGAAATGATGATATGATTGCCCTTCCTGCCTGGTGGGTATCACAAGCCTTCCCTCTTCTCTCCAAAGGACGTCAGTTTCACTTATGATGGAGATACCAGTTGCACCGATGAGAACTTGGAGCGTGGCAACTGGGCAAACAAAGCCGAATACCTGCTGTCTATGGTGGGCTATGCCGTGGGCCTGGGCAACGTCTGGCGCTTTCCCTACCTTGCCTACCAGAATGGAGGAGGTACCTGTGCTGAACGGCAGGGTCACAGGGGGGGCACACCTTGCTATTCCCCAGGAGAGAGCAGAGCAAGCTCCAAGGGCCAGCTCTGAGGCTGGGCATGTTCTGTCAAAGCTGGATGTGAGCTCTACCACCCTGGGAACTGGGATAGAGCCTGCTCATGAGAAAGGGCACTAAGAGGCACCTATGTGCTTTTTTGGTACCAGCTGAGAAGGGAAATAGTATTTAGTTTGAGTTGCAAATTTCTACCTGAGAATACCATCTTCTGAATTACTCGTAAACAACGTGTACCTTTTTGTCCATGTGCCAATATCCTCTACTTGTCTAAATAGCTGCTCTCCCTCCCCAGTGCTTACCCTCTGGTAAGTTTATGTTATATACCATACCTGGTATGTTTATAGAGAACAGTGGAATCCCCTCTGCACCTTTGTTTTTCCATGCAAACACTCTAAGCTGGAATAATTATCTCAGCTCAATAATTACCCAGATCAAACACTTGGGAAGTGTGAGACAGGGAGAGCCTCTACCTGCTTACACAATGAACTAGTGGCAAAGCCACGCAGAGGCACTGGCTTCCTTGGCTTGTATTCCAGAGCTTTATCTACTTGCCAGGCGACCCCTGGTAATTAAAGAGTGCCTAAATAGTAACTGCAGAGAACTTACTTATATGTACCTGTTTGCTCTGCCTAAGTCTTGTTGAAGTAAAATTCTGGGCTGTAAAGGCAGTACAGCCCACACGGCTGCACATGGAATACAAGGAGGCATTGCCAGTATGGAGTTTTTATTGGAGTGACATGGGTTGGTTTGCATTACTTGAAGTTTTGTTGAAGAAAATTGTGAAAACCAAGTAAGTTGTGATGTCAGCCCTTGGACTAGATCTTTTTTTTCATCTGCTGCAGCAGAGACTTTGCATTTAAAGGCATATTTGTGCTGTTGCTTGCATCCTTTTCTGTGCCCCTTGCCCATGATTGATAAAGACAACTGTTACATCCTTGTTTTGAAACAGAGGAGTAATCCAGTTAATTCTGTGGGACAATTTACTTCCTGAAATTACATCAGGTATTTGCAGTTCCTTGCAGAGCTGGGTCCTTGATTGCTTTAAATTCACTGAGAGTGATGAGGACAGATTCCTGCAGGGATATCGTGTTGTGTTTATGAAACTCGTGCTCTCGCTTTCCCTGTCTTCTGTGCACACACAAAGAAGTGCCAGTCCCTTTCACAGAACAAGGCGCTCACTGATATCAGGTTAACATGCACTATTAAATGGACTTGAACAAGAGCCATCCTGAGATGATGTTTGACACAGGACTCAGCCAACCATAGAAAATAATCTTCATGCTTTGATGTCCAGTACCTGCTTAACAGGGCAGTTGCAAAACACAGCTGAGCACACACAGGAATGGTTCTGTTCCTCTTTAAATTAAAAGTTGGAGGATTAAATAGAAAGTGGACAAGGTGCACTACAGTTAAGCAGCATTCTTACTTGTATTAGAGCACATCCTCAATAGTTTTTTATAAAGTGAATTTACTTTCTTATAAGAGAAGTCATTCTTTTAAAATCAGTTCTGACATTCATTGCAGGTGCTACTTAGTCTTATAGAAAACAGGACTTAGAAACAGATCTCTCTATTTCAAAAATAAGCACCTCCAGTGGGGAGCAGGGGAGAAAGGAGAAGTATAAAATGTGATAAAACTGTGGTGAATGCTGAAAGATGTATTGTTTTCTCTGTGTGTGTGATTGTGCTCTCCCCCCCATTTTTTATCTCCTCTCAGGTGCTTTTCTAATCCCCTACACCGTCATGCTGGCGTTAGCTGGCTTGCCCTTATTTTTCATGGAATGTTCCATTGGGCAGTTTGCCAGTCAAGGGCCAATTTCCGTCTGGAGAATGCTACCATTGTTTCAAGGTTGGTTTTCTTATCTTTCCTTTTATTCTAATAATAAACTGTTGTGAATTAATGATTTCTTAATGAAGTTACTAATTGTGAGACACTGATATCCGTGTTACCAGCGTTCTGTACCCAGGTATATACTTCCTCATTATTCAGTTAATAAACAGATGCTGAGTAAAGATTCCCCCAGAAAGGCTCTTGGTTATGAAAGGTTTTGTCAGAGATTCTTGTGCTCAGCAGCACATCACTCTCACTCCAGCTGTCCAGGCAGAAGGAAATATCTGTGTTTTGCCATGTGAGGGAAAAACTCAAGTAAAACAACTTTTGTAATGTGTGCAACAGATTGAAAGTAAACTTTAGAAGTTGACTTTATCACTGGCTTTTTATGCTTCATGTCCAGTGTAGCTTGTGAGGCAATTGTGTGTTGGATGGGTGAATTCTGTATTTGGCTGCCAGTGTGGGCACAGGCACGCGGGTCTGGGTGCTCTGTGCAATCTTGTGCACAATCACCGAGCAGCTGCCTTGGGAGTCATCTGCTGGTGAGATAAAATAGCCTAGACTCTGTCTTTGTAAAGTGGGGTGCCTCTTGAGATAAGAGAAATCGTTGCATGCTGTAGTGGTAGTTTGAGTTTGTGGTGATGGTTTGTATTTCAAACACTCTCAAAGGGAGATTTGTTTGGAAACAATTAACCATGGGCTTTACTCATGCCTGTCCATCCTGGTCCTGTACCAAGGGTGTAAAGGACTCTGCAATGGTTTTGTTTGTCTTAATCTACCAGAGGAGTTAACGTAGGAGAAGTTTCCTTCGGATACAACAAGAATTTGCTCGTCACCTACAGAAACTGGTTGCCCCAACATTTACTCTTATTGCCAGTCTCTGTTCTGCAGCACAAGAAACTTTCACCAAAGCAGTCTGTCTAAAAGCAAAAGGTTTTAAACCCAGCATATATTTTATATATCTGTAAAGACAGCAACTTATTTATAGTTTCTAAGATGACTGGTACTGTTTTCAGGCTTTTCCAAACTCACAGAACAAAACTGATTTTAACAAGGGGGAGAACAGTAATATTGAGAATTTACTGTAGTTTAAAGCATTCATTACAGCGGAATCTTTAAAAAGGCTTGGGCAGTCCTAGTAGAGTTTGTTTTATTTTAGTAAATTTCCCTCTGAATGGGGAGAGAACAAAATACTGAATTTCTCCTTTAGGCTTTGTAAATAGTCCATTTTTCTATGGGCCTGATTCAAATTGTGTTTCAAAAGCATGTTTGAGATGGTCAGTTTGGATCATATCCATCATTTAAGGGGTTTGAAATGTCGCTGTTTGTTTGCTGTTAAAAAATATTTTAAAACCAAACAAAAACCAACTTGAACTTCTTCCCAAGTCGCCTTTTAAAAGTCAAGTGAAGTCTATTTGTTTTGGTGGGAGGAGGGGTTTTGCAAGCCGAGTTTGAGGTGGTTAAGATATTTTGTGTTTCTCTTTCCTAGGAGTGGGCATCACAATGGTCATCCTCTCAACATTTGTGACTATCTACTACAATGTTATCATTTCTTATGCACTCTACTATTTATTTGCCTCATTTCAAAAAGTGCTGCCGTGGTCAGATTGCTTTTCCTGGGCAGATGAACTCTGCAGCAAGACAAAAATAGGTACCTTACTTATGAGACAGAGTTGAATATTATTGGTTTTGGTAATTGTTATATTTGGTAATTGTTTGGTAACTGTTTTCTGGGTGAAAGTACATGATTAGGACAGCTACCCATGGCTTCAAAAGTCCTTCCTGGAGTTTTGTATCTGAACACAGAGGAGTGATGCTTATCCACTTCTTTGCCACCGGTTCTGGATGCTTGGGAAATCTACAGAGAACTGGGCTGAAATCACTTTGTTGGATCCTTTTTGTTTCCTTTTAAACCTCAGCTTTTTTCTAGTACATACATTTCCAATCGCTTGAAATACTGCATTCCCATTTCATCAGGCTTTGTGGCATAAAAAACCCCTTCCATGAGACAAACTAGTGTAGTAGTTTTTATCGAGGTCTTTTCATTACTCCTTGCATCCCCTGTGGCTATGGTAATCCTGAGCACCACTGAGGTGCTGGCTTCACTCTTCATTAACTCTTTAGAATGTATCTCCACACCATTGTTCTTGTGTTTCACAGCAGAGGTAGGGCCTAAGCACTTAACTTCACCAGTTTCTGTATCAGACCAGTTTAAGGCAAAAGGTGAAGTTGGTGAGGTAATTACCAGTTAGCAGCTGGAAATGTTCTTGCCTGGTAACCAGTGATTATTAAAATAGCAAGGACAAGATGAGGATGGATTATATTGTTTGCAGTATTAATGTAAATATATCTCAACCATATATCTGAAAATATCTTCTAAGAGGCTTTATGTAACAAAAAGTTGGTGATCATTTATTGGCAAAACAAAAAAGGTTTCAGCACCTAATTTGTAAGTTTTGGGGAACACAAAACTGAACTGAACTGAGGAAGCTGTCCTGAAATAGGCTTCAACAAGAATTTCCAGTAATTGCTGATGCATATGCTGATGAAGTGTTTTTTATTGTATGTTCTGGCAAAAAATTCCCAACCCCAGTTTCCATTCCTCCAACTCTGCTCCAAGGAAAATATGTAAAGTGTTCTAACAAGCCCTCTGCCGCAATCAGATGAGTATCAGATACCAGATGATCCATGTGTTACCTTGGTTTGGGACAAAGGTTTTCATAGAATAACCAAGGCTACAATTTTAACTATGCTCAGATTTGACTTTTGTAAGTATTCTTGAGGATAAGTAAAACGTGGTGAGCACACCAGATTCTTGGTGTTTTGTTTTACAGTCAAGTAGCGAAATCACAGCTGCAAGTGACATTTCCGGTTTGTTTCCAAATCTTGTTAGCAGGCAAACTGAAGCTGTAATTGCTTAGGAAACACATTTGCTGTATCGGTCTGATTTTCTAAATAAGAGTCATCCCAGTATTAATGATTCCTTTTTCTTGATTTCAGTAAATGACTGCAACACAACCTACAATGGGAATATCATTCATGCAAACTACTCCTTCCTCACGGCCAACAATCTCTCATGTATAAATGGCACCATAACCTACAAACCAGTGCAATTTCCTACTGAGCAATACTGGAAGTAAGTAAATACTTTAAAGGAATTACTGAAAAAATATATTTTTATGCTTTGTGGTTTTGGATGCACCTTTTATTTTTGTCTTATCTTGCAGTCCAGAAAAAATCTAGTCAAGGGACATGGGCATGCAAATCACTAGGGAGGGGACTTAAAATTTAATTGATAAGTTTGGCTTTTTTAAGAGAAATTATGTATAGAAAGAGAAGCAAGTGAGTCAACCTTTAACCAATTAGAAAATGCTGCCATTTCTAGAAGTCCTCTTCTCTGGAGTCCTGGTAGGCACTACTTGGCATCTTTACACATAGCATATACTTTTCTTTTTCTCAGGAGTTACTGTGTAAAATATATTCACCTTATTCTGAATCTGGGCCTGTTGTAAAATTGCCATTTCTTTATTGCTCCACGGTCTCAATTTGCCTCGTGTTCACTGGGTTCCTGGAAACTGATTCTTTTGGGCTCTTCTTTTCCTGTCAGGATTTCATGATTAACACAGAATATCTTCGGTGGGTCTTAGAGGAGATGTATGGAGAGATGAGAGCTGGTAGGCTTCAAAAAGAAGGCAAAATTGCAGTTACATATATATACAGCTTCTCATTGCCAATCATGCAATTCCAACTGCACGCTCTTGGAAGAGGCTGCAGAGTGTTGTAATAGCCTCACAGAGCAGCTCATTTTTTCTGGAGAAGTAGCTGAAGAGGAGTGTGTGAGGTTTGTGTGCTGCTGCCATCCCCTCCTGATGGGAGCATCGTGTGCTTTCAGCAAAGTGGCTCTGCAGCGCTCGAGTGGGCTGGACGAGACCGGCAGGGTCGTCTGGTACCTGGCTCTCTGCCTCCTCCTCGCCTGGATCATTGTTGCAGGTGCCCTGTACAAAGGAATCAAATCTTCTGGAAAGGTATGTTAGGAAGACCAAGGAGATGACTTTTGGCCTGATTCTGCCCTCCCAATGTCAGCTGGAGCCAGGGAAGTTTAGCACAAGGCAGGATGCAGTCCTAACACACCCGCCTCTGCTGGGCTCAGCATTTGTCTTCCCTTCTGCTCCTCGGCTTCATAACTGTTACATAAAATATGAGTAAGGTGTTGATTACACAGCTATTACTTCATTCCTGGGCCTCCACTCCACTGGGCTGCCCTGTATTTTGGAATCTTGCCGTTGTGCCGGCGATTCCAGCTGAGTTTTAGCCGTTGCCTGGGCTGTGTGATGGAAGCGTGCGTGTGATGGCACACATGGGCACACGCCCTGGGAGCACCCAGTGATTATTTTGTGCTTCCAGTCTAGTTGAGATGGTTGGACCATACAGGTCAGGTGCTGTGAAGAGGTGTGTGTGTGTGCAGGTTTCTGGCAGATTGTGAAATGTTGTTTGTTCCCAAGAGTTGAAATTAGTTGTAGGGACAAGGTACTTAGATGCTTCTTTTCAGAATCTGTCTCTGCTGAGCTCCCATTTCTACAAGCTGCAGCATGGTTTTCTGGAGTTTGTTTTGGGCTAGGCTGACTTCAGGCAGGCTGAATTTCATCCTTTCTCACTGAGACCCTTTTCTTGGTTTGGTTTCTTCCTCCTCATACTCTTTTCTCACCTTTGTGTTGCATCTCCATCATTTACATCTTCAGTCTCAGTTGCCTTTGCTCTTTTGTTCACCTTCTCTGCACAGATTTTTTCCCTATTTTCCTTCTGTCATTGTGCCTTTCTTTGGTTCCTTGCTGCCTCCTTTCCTCCACTCAGTATGCGGTCTCCTCCTCTTTTGATTTCTATTTGGAGCTTTCTGTCCTTGTTTCAGTGCTTTGGGGTGGAATATCTGTTCTTTCCCAGCCTCAATTATTTGGCTGCATGGCTCTTCTTAATCTCATGTTCTTTGGGTTCCTGGCAGTTGCTCTTACTGTTGTCATTTTTTTTCTGGCACCAAGACAATTTTCTTTGGAGGGTAAGGTGAGACTTGGAAGAATCTAGCTGGGCAGGAGCAGGACAGATGAAAGGCAGAGAGAATTGTGCTAGGCAAGCATGAAGGAAGTCTTTGGAAATGTCAGACTCACCACACAATGGCACAATGCTCTGGCTTGGTGGAGGCAGCAGTCCTGGGTCAATTCCCTGTCTGAATAACACTGAAATTAAGACTCAAGAGACCAGAGTATTGTTGAACGTAGCCTGTGTGACAATAACTGTACTGCTGGCCTTGGTCCCATTGTGCTAGTACAACAGAATAGAACTGTGTCTGAGAGAACCTAAAAGTCCTTGCTCCAGCAAAGAAAGCTTCCAGAGCAGTGACTTTTAAAAAAAATTTTTTGTTTTGGCTTTTTTTTGAGGGATGGTTGGGGGGAGTAGCAGAGAGCTCATCAGGAAATGATCCCCCCCCGGTCGCCTAGTTTTTCCTGACTTTCAGCTTGCACTTGCTAGAAGCACTGCCTAGCAAGAGATGTCTGGGCTAGTTGAATCCAGACCTACAGCAGTAAATCATGCCAAAAAAATGCATTTCTGAAACTGGTCAAGTGCGCTCTCAAAAGTGGATATGTGGCTTGGGCCTTCTGCTTCTGCTGGAATGCAGCTCCAGAACCGGCTAAGCCAGATGGTTTGGTGGTTGGCATGTGTTCATTTCTCTGGTTGCCTGTTTCTCTTTTGTACCAGCAGACCTTAGCCTAAAGCCTGTCCAGTCTTCCTGCATGAAGGTCTGTGGATCCCCTCACACCTAATGTGTGTCCCTGCCCATCTTTCTGCAGGTTGTCTACTTTACTGCACTCTTCCCATATGTCATCCTGTTTGTCCTATTGGTGCGAGGTGCCACCCTGGAAGGTGCTTTGGATGGCATCGAGTACTACATTGGGAGAGAGTCCAACATCACCAAGCTGATGGAAGCAGAGGTGAGAGGAAGTTCAGCCCCAGAAGTGTGACATGCTTTCCTGGTTATGTGGCTTTCTTCTTTTTTATCCAGTCAGGTCCTTCAGGTCCTGCCCTGTATTTTGTATCAGCAGCTGGTTGTGTAAAGCGTCCAAGCCCCTGTTGCAGCTACTCTCAAACTGAAAGACAGTCACCTCCTTCGCCCTCCCTGCCACACCAGTGATGAGAACTGTGCTATTGCTTCTAAACAGTTCTTGGGGACCATGCTGGAGTTTAATCTTAGCAGGATCTGCTGACAAAGTTCTTGCTGATGATTTTAAGGGACTTTATCATAAGGCTGAAGGGATCCCTGAGTTTGAAATTCAGGCCATGCCTTGCCTGGGAAATTACCTTGGGTAATTAGGTGAACCAGGAAGGGCACCGCATGCAAAGAAAGCCAGAACTTTCTTTGTTCTGGCTTATGCCAATATTATTGCAGTTTTATCAAAAGCAACCATTCGGTGTGATATTTATTTGTGGTATTTATATGAGTGCTTGGCACTACCTGAGGGGCTACATCAGAAGCAGGAGTGGTTTGTTTGGGTCACACAAGTGGGAGGGTACATGGAAGTTCTCACTCCTGCAGCTAGTCCTGGTGGTCCTTATTTGTTGTGTCTGTGCCAAGATTCATATCTCAGCAATTCACCTATGTGAAGAAATCTAATCTTTTCTTCAGGGTTAGCCCACTATGATTTAAGTATTTGGCAACATGCTTGGGATGTGACCTTTAGACATGATAGAGATACTGTTTGTGATTGGACTGCAAGGTCACCAGCATGTTATATTCTATCCTCCCTAAAATTCATACAAAATAGAATTACATACACAGGCTGAATGAAACAAGATACCCTGGAGCTTCAATGGTGGACAGACTTCAATGTTTATGATAAATACTATAAGTAATACAGCAATTCTCATACTCGTTTTTGTTTGGCAGGTTTGGAAAGATGCAGCCACCCAGATATTTTTCTCCCTTTCTACGGCGTGGGGCGGGCTTGTTGCTTTGTCTTCATACAACAAGTTCCACAACAACTGCTACTCAGATGCCATTCTAGTTTGTGTGATCAACTGTGCCACCAGTGTATTTGCTGGGTTTGCAATATTCTCCATCCTGGGACACATGGCATTTGTGTCCCAGAGGCCTGTCTCAGAGGTGGTGGACTCAGGTAGGCTGATGGTCACCCTGTTGGTCTTGGGACTTGCATTGGCCAAGGCACGACAACAACATCCTTCTCTCCACTATTTTCCAGGGTTTGAACTGGCCTTTGTAGCCTACCCAGAGGCTCTCTCCCAGTTACCAGTTTCTCCTCTGTGGTCCTTCATGTTTTTCTTCATGCTTGTGCTTTTGGGCCTTGACTCCCAGTTTGCCAGCATAGGTAAGTGGGGTTTTAAGTGACTCATGTCTTTTCTTAATTTTCTTAATTTTGCTGCTCAAACTCACTTCTTCCTTTGCAGAAACAATTACAACCAGCATTCACGATATAAATCCCAGCATGATGAAAAAATTAAGAGGACCTATAACTGTGGGTGTGTGTGCAGTATTGTTTTTATTTGGGCTTGTCTGTGTTACTCAGGTAAGAAACTGAATTTTTTTGGTAGTGAGTTTAGTTATGCTGCAAGTGATGAACTCAAATCAAAATACCCTTTCCAAATGTTGCTTTCTTTGTGGATAAATCTTAGAGACCCTTGAATTTTGACAGTGTGCCTAAACACACAAGCAAGTGGAAAGCTTGAAGAACCAAAGGTTTTCTGTGATTATTGAACTGAGACAGGCTTTTAAATAGAAGGCTTTTACAGAGCCTGCGAATGATCAGCCTGATTTATGGTTCCTCAGTTCAGGAATTTATTTGTGTAATCACAAGTACACACATAGAACATGTCCACAGCACAGTGGGTGCTGCTAATAAATGGTGATGGGATCTTTTTGTTCAGAACTCACTACCAAGGAGGACAGGAATTAAGGAATGGCCTGTCTATGTATTAAAAACCCATTGGCTCATGAGCATTTGTTGATTGCATGGTTACTTCTCCTGTATGTGTTTAGTTATATAAATAGATATACAGAAAAGGAATTTTAAGTATACTGTGTAAAATTTCTTGAGGCAATTGCTTTTAAGGGTGTAAAGGTTCACTGCTATTACTCCATCTAGAAATAAAGATTTATGTGTGTAATTAGTCTGAAAATGTGAAGGAGGTAATTGTGGTGAGTAGACATTTGTATCGTCAAGCAAAGTACATAAGTCATGAAACAGGATGATGGGGAAGCTTGCAAGGGACTCAATCACAAGAGTGTGGAATGGCTCAGAGATTGTTTCCTGCTCTGGGATCCTGCTATTGCATGCTGGTGTTCAAAGCTGTGGTTAACCCCATGGAGAAGTCAGGCATGTAGGAGGATTGAAGCCTCCCAGAACTGGTAACAGGTATAGCCATTGCTGTAGTTCAGTATAAAACCTTCGGCCCCAAATTTATTCCTGTAAGCTCCAAATTTAAATCTTGCTCTCAGTTGTTTATGTATGCTCTATATAAGCATAGATCTTGCTTGTAGCACCTATAGTGTTTTGTTAGATGTGCTTTTCAACTTTACATAGAGGATTTAAAGAAAATAATATTCACAAATCTGCAGTTGACCTGGAGAACTGTGAACTTAAAAACTCAGAGTCATGATTAGTTAAATTGTCTTGAACAAATGCATCTTATCTGTATGTTACTACTCAAATTCTAACCTCTAATGTTTGTCCTGCAGGCAGGCATTTACTGGGTTAACCTAATAGATCACTTCTGTGCTGGATGGGGACTCCTCATTACAGCTTCCCTGGAGATAATAGGCATCGCCTACATTTATGGTAAATTATTTGCATTGAAAATACATTAATTAAACTAAACAATCCCAGGAGCAGTGTATATCATGGAGTCACAGTATGATTTTGGGGTGGAAGGAACTTGAAAAATCATCCTGATTCCAGCCCCTGTCATGAGCAGGGACACCTTCCAATAGACCAGGTTTCTCAAAGGCTCATCCTGCCTGGCCTTGAGCAGTGCCAGGGGTATAAAATACTAATTATTACAATAAAGAAATTATAATTTCACCATCTGAATAATAATAGGATAAAAAAAAACTTTAATGCAGAGCTGGAGAAACTGTCCTTGATTATTGCTTTTCTTTGATCGCTTTTGAGTAACCCCACGTGCAAAGGAGGTACCTGCTTTACAGTGAGTCCCGTGATTGTCTTCCAACAGGAGGAAAAAGGTTCATTGAAGACATTGAAATGATGATTGGGAAGAAGACCAATTCATTCTGGCTGTGGTGGAAAATATGCTGGTTTTTCATCACTCCTGTGCTGTTAATAGTGAGTGCACATGACTGGATTGTGTTAGTGTGACAGAATTTAATAACTTAATATTGAAGAGGTTGCTTTGTGAAGATCCAGGACTGGCTGCCCAGGCTCTGTGTATAAAGATGGGGCATAGCTGTGCCAGTGAAGTGAACTATGGGCTGTATCTGCTTTCTGATACACTCCCTCCTCCTTTGATGCACTCCAGGAGAGGCTGGGGCTTGAGATCAGTAACTAGAGAGCTGGGTCTACACTCCCAAGGACAACACAGGACAGCTAGATCCTCTGCCTTGGCAGCTGGATTATCTTAATTTCAGACTGAGATTGGTTTGAAAACCTTTTGAGGGAAATCCCATTTTTGGGTCAGATGTTCTGCTGTCTAACTGAGACCTTTAAATGTCCTGTTGAATGTCTGGTTTTGGTTAAACCTGTACTTCCAATTGTGAGTGTAGATGGTTGGATTATGTTACTATGACAGAATTGATTAACATTGCAAATCCAGGAACAGTGGGAAGTCACTCTGGCCAGTACCTTACCTGTAGTCTGCCCAGACTATAGTTTAGAAAATGCTGCTTAAAACGATCCAATTTCTGAAGCAATATTTGCCAATTTCTAATCTTAGGTTCTTTCCTGTGTTCCTGTAAATAATGGAATACAGGAACGCAAAAAACATTTAGAGAAGGGTACTGGGCTCAGCTAGCAATACATATATTACCCAACATAAGATTTAAAGAAAACCTAGAGATTAAGTTATGTTCAAACACAAATATACTTAGTGCACCTCAGCACTGGTGTCATTTTTCAGTCCTGGCCTTCAGTCTTGCTGCTTGGTGATGACTGAACACCAAAGTCTGCACAGCTGTTCTCATACTCAGGAAACAAGAGGGAACTGTGCAGAACTTGTAGACAACCCTTCTTTTTATTAAACCAACTTGGAAGCAGTGCAAGTTCAATGTTGTTGGAAACCTGATTTTCTCTTATTGTTTTTGCCATTTTTTCTAGGCTGTTTTGATCTGGTCTTTGACCACATTTTCAAATCCCACTTATGGCTCAGTGAAATACCCAGCCTGGGGAAACATTCTTGGCTGGTGCATGATCATCTTCAGCATCATCTGGATTCCTATTGTTGCTATTGTAAAAATACTTAAAGCTGAAGGAAACCTTATTGAGGTAAGGGCAAAAAAACCCACTGATATAGCCTCAAATCTGAATTTCTTTGGTATTATCAGGACCACCTGTCCTGTTTTCTCCAACACATTTACTACTTTGACATGTTTTTTAAATGGACTTTTAGACCAAAGCATTATCTCTGGTAGTTGCATCAAAGGTGCATCTCCCTGCCCTGTTCTGATAAAAAGATAAAGTCTAATTCTTTGGGAGTGCACACACACCATTTGAGAGAGATTTTTCATCAGTTCTGTTGCTATTCCAGCTTCTTTAAATTCTCTGAAGAATTTCTATTGCTTTCTATCCCCATATAATTTTCTGGAGTTTTGCCTCCCATTCCTCACAGAAGCAAGTGACACATCTGAGATATTCTGCTCTTGGCAAGCTTTCCCAAACAGTTGTGTTGGTCACAGCTTTTCCTGTTCCTTGACCTCAGTGTCCAGCACCCACCAACCCCAAAGACACTTGGAACGATTTTAAACAACTTTGGTGATTCGCCATTTGTTGAGCTGCAGTGTGTGCCTAGAGCTATAATTGTACTGAATTTTAGAAGCAGCCTGGACTAAGGGAAGACATTAAATGCCTGTTGGTTTTGCTTTGCAGCGCCTTGTCAGCTGCTGCCGGCCTGCAGCAAACTGGGGCCCCTACCTGGAGTGTCACCGAGGGGAGCGGTACAGCCACATGGTGGACCCCAAGAACAAGGAGAACGAGATTCCCACTGTGTCTGCCATTGTATACAAGCGACGTTGAGATGGCTGTTTTGATGACTGTTTTTTAACACATATATGGGTTTTGTCTTTTGATATTGAAAAGGTACCACGAAAAAAAAAAAAGGCAAATCAGCAGCCCTGCGTCTTTAATATCCAGCCCTCAAATGAAAGCGAGTTGTATTATTTATTTTTATTGTTTTAGTATTTGTGGAGGAACACATCAATTAGGCACTGAGATCTCACCAGGTGTGTAGGTTGAGAGGGCAGGATAGTCCATTGCAGGCTCCCCAGGCTGGATGGGGTTAATCATGCCCAGATACAGGCTGGACTGGGCATGATTAACCCCATCCAGCTGGTATCCAGCTGGACTGCACATACGGGTGTGGGGGAAAGTAAAGACATTCTGGTGCTCCCAGCTGGAGCCTAAAGGTGCTGTGTGTGTGGGTGCCCGTGCCCTGGGGTGCAGCTCTGCCACCCCAGGGGTGTGCAGTAAGCAGAGGGAAACGGGTGTGCTGCTGCCTGGCATACTGAGACACAGTGGGTAGCACTTTGCTAAATAAAAAGTCCCCACTAATTTGGACAGAAAAGGTATTTGTCAAGGTGTGGATCTGAAAGATCCGTGGAAAAGATCATTTATAAATAGGGGAGAGCAATTAAGCAACCAGACAATCTGTGTCTTCTCATGTCTGTACACAGTGTGGACTTTGAGGAGTGTCCTTGGCTGTTATGGAATGCCTGGGGAAGGTCACTATGACATCCCTTCCCAGAGAGGGTGAAATGTCACAGCCACGTTCCTGGTTGGAACAGGGCAGATGGGTTGTGTTGGTGGTTGCCTGGTCATTCTGCTCAAGTTCCTCCACTGGACATGACAACTCTCCTGACTTGCCCTTTCTGTGTCTGTACCTGAAAGTTGTGTTAAGATGCAAAAATTACCGGGGAACGTAAGTTCCTTGATGCGGAAGCAGGACCGCCAAGAGGCCAACAGGGCAGTGGGAGAAGGTGAGGCCGACAGGCAGTGCCTCCGTGGGGAGCAGGCACAGGGAGCAGCGGAGTGGGCTGGTCAGGCGAGGGTCAGTGTTTGATGGGGAATTGGCAGTCCTGAGGTAGAAAACAAGAAGGAGAGTGTGTGGGTAGACGTTGGAAGAGCAGGAAGAGGGGAAGGAGTAGGGAGACATGCTAGAAGTGAAGGTGTGTGACAGAGAGGCGGCCAGGCAGGGGTGCAAGCAGAGCTGAAGAGCCCAGAGTGGGGGAGCGAGCCCGGGCAGGTTGGCGGCAGGGAAGTGGGTCGGGCTAAGGCGAGGAGCGAGGGCGTGCGGAGGGCAGGCGGTATTTAGGAGGGGAAGTGGGCAGGTGACCGTGCAAGGTGTTTGAGGCAGGTGGGTGTTGCCGAGGAAGCGGGCGCGGGGCCGGAGGAGGGTCAGCGGGCCCGGGCTGCGAGGGGCTGCCCCGGGGGCGGGAGGCGGCCCCGCCCGGGCCCCGGGGCAGCGCAGGGGCCGCGGTTCCCGGCGGGGCAGCGAGGGGCGGGCGGCTGCCGGCCCGATAAAGCGGCGGGCGGCGGGCGGCGCGGGCAGAGCGCAGCGGCGGCAGAGATGGGGATGCTCAGCCTGCCCGGCTTTCTGTCCTGCGGGAAGAAGAAGGTGAGGCGGCGGGGGGAGGCTGGCCGGAGGCGCCCGGGCAGGTGGGGTGCCGAGGCACCTGGGCAGGTGTGCGAGAATGTAGGCGAGTGTGGGTGCACCTGGGCAGGTGGGTTGTGGAGGTGCCCAGGTGGGCGTAGCGGCGCTCGGACAAGCAGGGCGCAGGTATGTCGGCAGCTGAGGGCAGGTATGAAGTTGTCTGTGCAGGCGAGATCCAAACAGGTAGCGGAAGGTAAAGTGGGACGAGCTCCTCGACAGATGTACAAGGCGCTAGGACAGGTGTTTTTTAAAGTGAGCATACAGATATGTGCTGATGTGAACATCTGAACAAGTATGGGGGCATCTGTAGGGGCAGAATAGAGGAGTCTCCTGCAGCTGATAGCACAAAGGAGTAAGGCAGAATTGTGGAGGTGTTTGGGCTCTCTGGGGGGACCCTCTCTCACAGGTCTGTGCTGTCCTGCCAGAGGCCAACTGGACTGGTACCCAAAAAAATGACTCTGCTGATCCTGACAAGGTACGTCTCTGGACAGAGAAATGATGATATGATTGCCCTTCTTGCCTGGTGGGTATCACAAACCTTCCCTCTTCTCTCCAAAGGATGTCAGATGCACCGATGAGAATGTGGACCGTGGCAACTGGACAAACAAAACCGAATACCTGCTGTCCATGGTGGGCTATGCCGTGGGCCTGGGCAACGTCTGGCGCTTTCCCTACCTTGCCTACCAGAATGGAGGAGGTACTTGTGCTGAACGGCAGGGTCACAGGGGGGGCACACCTTGCTATTCCCCAGGAGAGAGCAGAGCAAGCTCCAAGGGCCAGCTCTGAGGCTGGGCATGTTCTGTCAAAGCTGGATGTGAGCTCTACCACCCTGGGAACTGGGATAGAGCCTGCTCATGAGAAAGGGCACTAAGAGGCACCTATGTGCTTTTTTGGTACCAGCTGAGAAGGGAAATAGTATTTAGTTTGAGTTGCAAATTTCTACCTGAGAATACCATCTTCTGAATTACTTGTAAACAACGTGTACCTTTTTGTCCATGTGCCAATATCCTCTACTTGTCTAAATAGCTGCTCTCCCTCCCCAGTGCTTACCCTCTGGTAAGTTTATGTTATATACCATACCTGGTATGTTTATAGAGAACAGTGGAATCCCCTCTGCACCTTTGTTTTTCCATGCAAACACTCTAAGCTGGAATAATTATCTCAGCTCAATAATTACCCAGATCAAACACTTGGGAAGTGTGAGACAGGGAGAGCCTCTACCTGCTTACACAATGAACTAGTGGCAAAGCCACGCAGAGGCACTGGCTTCCTTGGCTTGTATTCCAGAGCTTTATCTACTTGCCAGGCGACCCCTGGTAATTAAAGAGTGCCTAAATAGTAACTGCAGAGAACTTACTTATATGTACCTGTTTGCTCTGCCTAAGTCTTGTTGAAGTAAAATTCTGGGCTGTAAAGGCAGTACAGCCCACACGGCTGCACATGGAATACAAGGAGGCATTGCCAGTATGGAGTTTTTATTGGAGTGACATGGGTTGGTTTGCATTACTTGAAGTTTTGTTGAAGAAAATTGTGAAAACCAAGTAAGTTGTGATGTCAGCCCTTGGACTAGATCTTTTTTTTCATCTGCTGCAGCAGAGACTTTGCATTTAAAGGCATATTTGTGCTGTTGCTTGCATCCTTTTCTGTGCCCCTTGCCCATGATTGATAAAGACAACTGTTACATCCTTGTTTTGAAACAGAGGAGTAATCCAGTTAATTCTGTGGGACAATTTACTTCCTGAAATTACATCAGGTATTTGCAGTTCCTTGCAGAGCTGGGTCCTTGATTGCTTTAAATTCACTGAGAGTGATGAGGACAGATTCCTGCAGGGATATCGTGTTGTGTTTATGAAACTCGTGCTCTCGCTTTCCCTGTCTTCTGTGCACACACAAAGAAGTGCCAGTCCCTTTCACAGAACAAGGCGCTCACTGATATCAGGTTAACATGCACTATTAAATGGACTTGAACAAGAGCCATCCTGAGATGATGTTTGACACAGGACTCAGCCAACCATAGAAAATAATCTTCATGCTTTGATGTCCAGTACCTGCTTAACAGGGCAGTTGCAAAACACAGCTGAGCACACACAGGAATGGTTCTGTTCCTCTTTAAATTAAAAGTTGGAGGATTAAATAGAAAGTGGACAAGGTGCACTACAGTTAAGCAGCATTCTTACTTGTATTAGAGCACATCCTCAATAGTTTTTTATAAAGTGAATTTACTTTCTTATAAGAGAAGTCATTCTTTTAAAATCAGTTCTGACATTCATTGCAGGTACTACTTAGTCTTATAGAAAACAGGACTTAGAAACAGATCTCTCTATTTCAAAAATAAGCACCTCCAGTGGGGAGCAGGGGAGAAAGGAGAAGTATAAAATGGGATAAAACTGTGGTGAATGCTGAAAGATGTATTGTTTTCTCTGTGTGTGTGATTGTGCTTTCCCCCCCATTTTTTATCTCCTCTCAGGTGCTTTTCTAATCCCCTACACCTTCATGCTGGCGTTAGCTGGCTTGCCCTTATTTTTCATGGAATGTTCCATGGGGCAGTTTGCCAGTCAAGGGCCAATTTTAGTCTGGAGAATGTTACCATTGTTTCAAGGTTGGTTTTCTTATCTTTCCTTTTATTCTAATAATAAACTGTTGTGAATTAATGATTTCTTAATGAAGTTACTAATTGTGAGACACTGATATCCGTGTTACCAGCGTTCTGTACCCAGGTATATACTTCCTCATTATTCAGTTAATAAACAGATGCTGAGTAAAGATTCCCCCAGAAAGGCTCTTGGTTATGAAAGGTTTTGTCAGAGATTCTTGTGCTCAGCAGCACATCACTCTCACTCCAGCTGTCCAGGCAGAAGGAAATGTCTCTGTTTTGCCATGTGAGGGAAAAACTCAAGTAAAACAACTTGTGTAATGTGTGCAACAGATTGAAAGTAAACTTTAGAAGTTGACTTTATCACTGGCTTTTTATGCTTCATGTCCAGTGTAGCTTGTGAGGCAATTGTGTGTTGGATGGGTGAATTCTGTATTTGGCTGCCAGTGTGGGCACAGGCACGCGGGTCTGGGTGCTCTGTGCAATCTTGTGCACAATCACCGAGCAGCTGCCTTGGGAGTCATCTGCTGGTGAGATAAAATAGCCTAGACTCTGTCTTTGTAAAGTGGGATGCCTCTTGAGATAAGAGAAATCGTTGCATGCTGTAGTGGTAGTTTGAGTTTGTGGTGATGGTTTGTATTTCAAACACTCTCAAAGGGAGATTTGTTTGGAAACAATTAACCATGGGCTTTACTCATGCCTGTCCATCCTGGTCCTGTACCAAGGGTGTAAAGGACTCTGCAATGGTTTTGTTTGTCTTAATCTACCAGAGGA